CACTACATATTATTTAATATAAAATTCTAAAAGAAGTGAAGAAATTAGTATTTCTTGCTATCACAGATAAAAAAAAATGTTGAATTATAATTACAACAGGAATCCAACAGGTTTTATTAATTGTTTCAGAATATAAAACCCAAATATGACATTCAGGTTTAACTGATTTCATTTAGAGCATACTAGTATAACAAATGAGAGATTAATCTGAAATGTATAATTTAAAGAAATATTAGGCTAATATCTTGCTATCAAATTGACTAAGAACAAAGTATAAGCTTCATGAAAATTTAAACGTCTTCATAAAATAATAAAATTACGAATTCATTTTCTTAATTTGATACATTTTTCATTAATTAGACTGATTACAATATTAAGATATTTCTAAATAGCTCCAACGATAATATCTCCTGACAGCATTCCCCCTGCTAAAGCTTGGTCGATGAATATTAATAAGGTCATGTTGGCGTTGCTTGGTAACCTTCCCGGAGCTTACAAAACGTAACCTAATTAATATTCATGACCCAGGCCTTCAACCATAGTAGGAATCGCCCACCTACTAGCGTCTACCTCGCGGCCAATCAGATAGGTATTCTGGACAAACGTCATATTGCGTAATGAATATTCATGAGACAATCCTTCAACGTAGTATAATTCTTGAATCCGGGATCCAGTAAAACGCAAATAGCGAGAACCAGCTGTGTATAGTACTTTTTGCATCCCTGCGCTCTCGTTGGCTGCATCCTCTGTCAATAACAATGAGCTCGTTTCAGCAATGGTGCTTTCACTCGTAACAGCTGTACGTTTCGTCAGTGCTGGTGTTTAGTGATTTAAGGTATCACAAACAGAGGACTGGCGAATTATTCCAAACATGGTATGTAGCAATAATATGAATGCGATTTTACATTTCTGTTTTTATTCTGTAATCCTTATTCACGTAAATACTTGCTCTGCAGCTTACGGTAGCATCGGTGGTATAAAAGCAATGGAAATATGGAATTACTCAAATGTATTTCTGTAGGCTGTTATAGTAGCTGTATTGCCTCACTGTGTGATAAAATACACTAATGTTCGTTACAGCTCATGTCTTACGCACAAAAAGCACTACAACATGTTTGTGTAGATGGCACATTGAATATGTAAACAATGAAAAAGATGCATTACACTGCATGTAGTGTATATACAAACATATTATTATTATTATATCATGTATGAATTTCACAACTGTATATTTCACTCTTTTTTTGGCAGTACGGTTTTGTGAACCATGCACTAGAACTTCTGGTGCTGAGAAATTATGGTCCAGATGTGTGGGAGGACATCAAGTGAGTTCATATGGACTTCTCTATTACATCATGGACAATCTTTTATTGTCATATTCTGTAATTTTTTGTTTATTTTTGCATTTATGTACACTGTATATTCTATTTGAACATACATGTCTGTACATATAATAGATGTTCTCAGATATAAATTCAGGTGACTTAAGGAGAGGTGTGTGTGTGTGTGTGTGTGACTATCAATTTTTAATGACACTTACAAAACTTTGGCTTGAAATCTAAATACAATTTCAGCAAATGCTATTTTAATCTTAACATTTTTTCTCAATGCCTTAAAAATACAATTAATGATATCTGTAGCTCAGTATATATACTATATACAATATATTGTGATTGGCCAGTTTTTACTTACATATGCTCTTTTTCCTTAATTCAGAGCATGAGAAATCACGTATAACATGTCATGGGGTGAAGTCACATGCATAGAAATTTTTCCTCTTGCACAAGCAGTTCAGCTTTATTTAACTTCCTCCATCTCTTTAACATGACTTTTAAGAGCAGTCTTTTCAAGTCACAGCTGTGCGCAATGTAAACAAATGTTTTAGAGCCTGTTTAGGCTCAAGTTGTGAGCTCGAGTCTCACTCGATTTTCTGGCAACATTAAAGCAGTTGGACTCAGTTATTGCAGCATTTTTTTCAGCAAGGTTCAATATTATCAAAAGGTTAGCAGCATCTCGCAGTGCACTGTCCAAGACATGATTAACGATGTTTCTGTTTCTATTTTTAGGTTGTGTTTTACAAGTGTTTTCCTTTGTTGATACTATTGTGACTTTTTGGCTGAACTTCTCTTTGGTCATCATTCTTAGTCAAAGCAGATTTTTTATTTTTTTTAGCTCACAGTTTAGTAATATGTCCAAGCAAATCACATTTTGACCTGACTCTAACAATCTTCATGCTTTTATTAAATATTCCTTTTCATTTTTCTCAAAATTTAAAGATATGTTATTACCTTGGAGTCTAAAAATTCTAATGAAACATTTTTTTGTTTTTTAATTAATGTTAATGATGTAATAGCAAGTACTTGATGTTTAAAATATTTTATATTATATTTTTCTTTTAGGAGAGAGGCTCAGGTTGATGTAGAAGGACAGTTTTTGGTCAGAATTATCTATGAAGATGCCAAAACATATGACCTTGTGGCTGCTGCAAGCAAAGTACTAAGTAAGGTTGTTTTTGTTATTGTTGTAGTTTTGGAAAGATGGAGGTAATCATTTGCTAAAACCTAAATTGATTTATTTATTAAATGGTTTATTAAATCAAAAGTGCCCTATTATAAGTGACAGAACATCATAATGATTAACTTATACAATGAAATGTAACAAAATTACTTCGTTTAAATGTAAAAATCTTCTTGAATTGCTTGTTGATTTAAATATGGTTTCTTCTTCTATAGAAATAGATGCCGGAGGCATCTTGCAAATGTTCGGGAAAATGTTTTTTGAGTTCTGTCAGGAATCTGGCTATGACACTATCCTTCGAGTGTTGGGCTCCAATGTCCGTGAATTCTTACAAGTAAGAGGCTACTGTTTTTATCACCCAAAAATCAGCAGCAGCAATGTTGAGAAAGTGACGCAAGTAACACTGTCTGTTCTCTATTTCACACACTGCATGTACTGTACTTTTAGTGAAGGTGATTTTTAAAATAGTTTAAAATAATATTAAATAATAATAGTTTTGTTAGATTACACAATGAAAATGGCATGTTCTGTGTTAGTGCAGATTATTGACAATAACATCAGCTATATTTTAAATAAATCCTTAATGTTCTTTCGTTATATATCATTTTTTTGCCTTATTTTGTGAAAAATTCCATACGACTGTGCCCATAGTAAAATTAAAAATGAGAGAAAAGTTTGCCATAACTGAAGCTGATTTCACTAAATATTGTATAGTATGAAGCTTAGTGCTACTAAAATCTAGATACTAGATACCCTATTTTCACCCCTTTTCATTGCACTGACTTTGCAAAAATCTGCTCTTTACATCAGCACATTAATATCAGCATGTTCTCTCTTTCAGAATCTGGACGCATTGCATGACCATCTGGGCACTATCTACCCCGGCATGCGCGCACCCTCCTTCCGCTGCACGGATGCAGAGAAAGGGAACAACCTAATTTTACACTATTACTCTGAGAGAGAAGGTCTTCAGGACATCGTCATAGGGATCATCAAGACAGTTGCACAGCAGATTCATGGAACTGAGATTGAGATGAAGGTGCTGTTCCTGTGCATTGATGGTCTCCTTTATAGATGTTGCTTTGTTCCTTTAATTGTCTTTAGCCTGGCAGATTCAGATGCAAATGGTAGAAGAGAATTATTGCACAAAAAAGTAATATCCACAATGACACAACAATAGATAGATAGATAGATTTTTAAAGAAAGAAATTAGTACTTTTGTTCAGCAAGGATGCATTCCATTGATTAAAATTGACAGAAAAGACAAAAAAAAATCATATTTCTTCAAAAAATGCTGTTTGAACGTTCTATTCATCAAATAATAATGCAGAAAATTCAGATTTGCCATCACAGGAATAAATTA